GATGAAAATATAAACAAACTTCAAAGCTTCGAGGTCGCCATGCAACGGTTTTTGCTATAATATGCCTTTTGCATGACACGGTCACATACTAKGTACTATTCTGGCGAAATTTGTTGCTACTCTGCCACATAACCCGAGTGAACGCTCTAAAAGCGTCTAGTTACGAATGTTTGGGCTCCCTGTATTGTATCAACAAAATGGCCGCTGGAGCGCAGTTGAAGTCAATCTAACTTTTAAAGATATATATGCGTCGCTCTAAAGCAGTATTAGGAATGGTTTCAGCCAAGTATTGAACAGTAACTACTTAAATAATGCTTGGACCAAGTTGTGATCCAACTTTTATCGAAAACGTTCAGTTTTCATCTTGAAGTGTTTTGGTATCAACCGTTTCAAAATGGCCTCGAGGTCACCTAGTGGAAAAAGGAAGAACCCTTACCCTTATTGGCAATGGAAGAACTTTGCAAAGCGCAAGAAAACCAAAGAAGATCAAACGAAGAAAAGCGAAGAATCAATAAAGCATGCTTATAATGCCAATGGCGAKAGCAGTCAAAGCAGTCCGCCTGTATGGAAAGATCGACCTACTAGTGATGGCGTTGACAGCGTGGAGCTCTCCTATCAACAAGAGTATGTCTTGAATCTGATAAGAGACGGAAAAAATGTGTTTTACACTGGGAATGCCGGAACTGGAAAAACTACTCTTTTAAAAGAAATCAGAAAATGCGCTCCTGACGGTACCTATGTTACAGCTCTGGTAAATATTTTTAAATATTAAAAAAACTTAACTTACATGTATTCATGTATACATGTATTCATAGCAGCATCTCAAGGAAGGTCCAAATCCATTGAAAGTAGYAAGTAGATTTGAGAAACTGATGAGGGAATTAAAAAGTGAATTGTGAAACATGAGGCATAGTGGAGGGCTTTTAATATGCAGCATCTTGTGGCATAGTGGTGTAAGCAATAACAARTATAAAAAGAGAATTCTCTTTATTTACATACACATATTATTTGTTTACTAGACAGGGGTTGCMGCTGTACAGGCTGGAGGCTCAACACTGCATTCTTTTGCTGGTATAGGACTGGGGAATGGCACCAAGGAATCCCTGTGTAATATTGTCAGGAGAGGATCCAAAGTTCAAAATTGGTATCATATTTACTAAATATGCTTAATATACTGTTTTCGTTAAGGGTACATATAGTGAATGTGAGTTACAATTAATCTTTGTTGTTGTTTTTATTCAGGAGAAAAGCTAAAGTATTGATTATTGATGAATTGTCTATGTTGGATGGTAGACTGTTTGATAAATTAGAATACATTGGTAAGCTGCTGATAATTTGTTTTTGATTCAGTGATATTTTTCATTGTCATTATTAATGTCCAAGTACATTCATGTAACCATGTTTATTCAATGTTTTTTGGACCTCTAGCAGTATAATATGGGCACTTTATGGCATAGCCTCCGTTGCAGGCAATTCTTACCCTGCTGGATTCATGTGTTAAGTAGCTGGTGAGGGAAGGAGTTAGAAAGGAATCTTAACAATAGTTCTTCTTGGTCAAAATTATCAATACGTAAGACCAAAAAGACTGCTAGAGTAACCTGTGAAGGAGGCTATATATGGCAGTTGTTAATTGGTTCTATCTCTTCTTTTATTTAATCGGCTGTAATTAATATGCTAGTTTTCCTTATTAAGTCAAAACTAGCCGTGCGCTTAAAAAATTGTATTTAGAGATTGTAAGTTCATGTGTACATGCATGTTGCTGTGGGAAGCTACAACAGCATTGCAATAATTACTCCAGACACTCAGACACTCAGACACTCAGATTCTCTTCAACAAGATTGAGAACATTTAGTATCAAGGTTTTACTTAATATATAATTTAAATTTATTTGAAAGGACAATGACTTACCTATTTTCAATTTTCGTATCAGCTTGTAATATCAGAAATTGTGATTTGCCATTTGGAGGGTTACAGTTAGTAGTTTGTGGGGATTTCTTTCAGCTTCCTCCAATCCAAAAAGTTGGAGAAACCTGTGTAAAGTGAGTATTCTGTACAAAAATAATCATGAACTATTATTCCAATAAGACTTCCTGTGCACATGTAACATCCTCTGTATCTGCATGTTTGTATTTTATTAATAAGGGTGCATAAGATAGCAAATACTTTATGAATGCTGATCAATACAACATGGCTGCTCATATTGTTATAAACTTTATTATTGCATTTCAGAACAACTTGTTAATGTTATTCATCCACTAATGAAAAATAGAAAATTTAATGTTGAATAAATAAAACAGCTTCCAAACTGTTGATTATATATATTTCTTGACAGCTACTGTTTTCAAAGTAAATCTTGGGACAAGTGTATAGAACATAATTTAGAGTTAACCCAAATATACAGACAATCGGATCCAAGGCTTGTCAAGTAAGATAATTCAAATATCATATTTATAACCGTTAGAAGAGTTGTCTAGACATTTTGACATCATGAAAAAGATAAAAAACAACAACAACCTATTACAAAAATGTTGACAAATAGAAATAGCAATTTGTACTAGTTTTAGTAAAAAGGAATAAGTTGAAATGATAAATGAAAGCGTTCAGAATTATTAATGTGAAAATGTTCTATTTCTCCATGGCAATATTACTAGTATTGTACATATTATTATAGTAATTATATATTATTCAGTATCGCTGTACCATACTAGTAGACTATTCGAAACCTAGCATTCTGATTGGCTACGATATTGACAACCAACTTTTCCATATCCRCAGAGTGTAATAACAAAAAACCTATACCCTCTATTAACAAATAAGCAGTTACTCAATGTTAATTAATAATTTCCTTAGATTACTGTATGAAGTTCGATACAAGTGCTTATCTGATGAATCTTTGGAATTGCTTAAATTTCTCAAGAGACCCATACCAAATACTGACATAGAACCAACAAAGGTATATTGCTTGTAAATTCACCAGTAGCCAGCATAGCGGCTCTAGGGTAAGGGGGGAAGGGAGGGGGAAAGAAGGGGAGGGAGTAGGGAAAGTCCATTCACCCCTCCCCCTCCAGGGGCACAGGTTAATTTACAGTGAGACAGTGAACATTCAGCAACATGCATTCTTATCAAAAATTTAAGTATAAAACTTGTAACATCATTTTGTCAGACATCTTTGTATTTTAAATGTTACCAAAAACTTCAAAACTCCAACTGTTAATTAGTTGCTCCTATATGACTGCCCCTCCTCTCCCCTCTGTGTTTTGCTGTTATTTTGAGGATTTTGTATAGCGATAGTGGATTTCTCACACATCTTGTTATTATTGTATCAACAATTCATGGCGAGGTTTCAGCCGATTTGGTTGAGTATATATACCTTTCTCTCCACCAATATATTTGGGATGGGGGTGGGGTTGGGTTCCACATAGGAACATCTGATGAAGAGCCTGTGCTCCCTGTAGTATATGAAACGATTCCATTTATTTTTAGTTATACTCTCATAATGCTCGAGTGAATGACATCAACAATGCCAAATTGAAGAGTCTTCCTGATCAAGAAGAGATGACYTACATGGCTGAAGATCATGGCCAAGCTCCTTATGTAGATAACATGAGCAAATATGTTATTGCTATGGATAAACTTGTATTGAAGATTGGAGCACAAGTCATGTTGATCAAAAACTTGACTGAGGAACTTATCAATGGATCTAGAGGTGTAGTGGAAGGATTTGACAATGATGGGGTATGAATAGTTCTCAGTATTTATCACAATCTTATAGTCTGTACTGCCAGCAGTGCCGTGATGTATCCATGGTATAAAGGGGCTGTATGTACTGCTTTTTCTTCATCTTTGAGACAAGTTTCATAATTTGCTTTCTAGCAACACTAATAATTATTACTACTGATATAGTAAAAATCAAAGAAAAATAATTCAAAATAAATCCGGATCCATCAAATACAGTGTTTACTTTTAGGAAGCACAGAACATTGAGAACACATTCTGCATAAGACTTTAAGCTTAGAAAGTGTTTCATTGCTCTGTGAGTGATTTTTTCACATAATACAATTTCACTTCAAAACCCAATCATCAACTCTGTCAAGAAAGCACATTTGGGCATTTCCTTTTGTGARGCAGGCTGTAMRACCATTMTCACTTTCYAACTGGATAGCAATGTGGTGGTGATAACCTTTCAGATTAGTACTATCCTCAATATTCCAGGATTCATTAATTTAGAAAAACACTTATACAGTACTAAATTCAAATCTTTTCAGTGGCCTTTAGTCAAATTCGTTGATGGACAACTTAAGACAATCAAAGAAATGGAATGGAATCTAGAAAACAGCAGTGGAAAGGTGCTTGCTGTTAGAACTCAGGTCCCTCTCAAGTTGGCTTGGGCTATTACTATTCATAAGAGCCAGGGCATGAGCATAGACTTTCTTCAGGTACTTCTACACTAAAACCTTGTTTTCATGTCATGCTAAATTTGAAGCGTTCGTCCAGATTTTCTTTACAACCTACAGAGTGCAACTTTACCAACACTAATTCTATAATCTAAATTAAACAAAAGTTGACAATATCGAGTAAATGAGTGTGGCACTTCAGTTCGAATGTGTCAATTTTTCTTCCAACTCTGATTTAGCCGGCTGCAAGAAGACTACAGCACTTATGTTGAATGAAGAGAAGTGGAGTGAAAGTAAAAATTTCGAAAGCGGAATCCCAATTGAAGAGCCAATCGCAACACTCTCTACACTAGGTGCTCTTTGTGTAGAAAAGAACTATGATGAACGCCAATTTACAGTAATTCTGTAGGCGCTATAATCTTCTCTTTCCTTTGGATAACGGTCTTTTTTCGCATAAATGTTTCAGTGTCCGCTTCTGTCTCTGCTTCTACTTCCAAGTGATGTGAAAACAGATTAAATAGAATACAATAAAATCTGAATCTATATGCTAATTTAATGGTTATTTTAATACTATCAATAGTTAAATTTTAATTGTATATTACATAGGTTGATTTGAAGAATGTGTTCTCTCAAGGTCAGGCATACGTAGCTCTGTCTAGGGCAAGGTTAGTTTGTTATTCACAAAACATGGTCTTGACGTTTCCTTGAGTGCACCTAATTTAGTTTTGTTTTTCCGCAGAACTATAGAAGGACTACAAGTACTGTCATTTGATGTCAATAAGTTTACAACAAGTGACGCAGTCATAAAGTATGTTGTAGAAACTATTTCAAGTCCTTTAATCTTTAATTGTGAAAATTGCCCCTAGCAAGCTAATCCGGCAATGAGCGGTCGGCGGCCATAGTACGAACGGATACGAGACAGGAAAATAATAAATATATGAATAAATACTAGATAAATAAATACACAAAAGGAAAAAAAAACAATAAATATAATAAGCAAATACACTAACAGGCTAACAACGATAGCTCGCTAGTTAAAACCGGATGAAACTGTGTTACAGATAGTGTGTTCACAAATATGGACTGAGGCGCAGAGAATTCCAATGTAGAAGAAAAACTTATGGYCGTTAACTGCTGATTTAGTATGGTCAAGCTGATAACAATTGCGTGAACTAGCCCTTGTGGCATAATTGAAGTGTTTCTGCTTAATGTCAGGGTGGGAATCGGTGTTTAGATGATGGAAATTGATGTTTTTTTGTTCACACTTATGCACATTGTAAATGAATCTTGTTCTTTTTTCTTTGAAGGTTTTACGAAGATAAAGTCAAACCAGCTCCAACTGGTGACTCCAACACGGCTACAGACGCAAGACCCTCGAATTTTGTGACGCCTAATTTTCTTCGCAGAGCTCCGTCTAGTACTCCGTCTAGTACTCCCTTTAAGAGGAGAAACGACAGTCCACAAAAAGACTTTCAAAATACGCATCAAGATTCTCCTTATCGGCAAAGCTCCTTGTTTGAAACTAAGTGTTCACCTCTGATTCTCAAACAGGAACATTCCCGTAGCTCTCATGAATGTAGCAGCGCAAGGGGAAGTGTTGGATTCCAAAAAGCATCTGATATCTACCAGGACGCTGATCGAGCCAAACGGAAAATCTCCAATGATGATGTGTCAAACTCCAAGTATGTTAAAGCGAAGACAAAGAAATGTGAGGGTGCTACTTTCACAGATGGTTGTAGCGATAATATTGATGCCGACCTTACATTTGATGATGATATTTCTGACTCCGAGTGTCTAAGAGCAAGCCAAGAAGAGTCTACTTTGATACTTTATTCTGAAGAGATTTCAGATTCGGAGTGTTTGGAAYCAAGTCAATTTGATGAACAGAAACCATCCAAGGGGAAGCAACAAAAATCGAAATCTAAAAGGAGGAATAAAAGTAACGAGAATTGCATAGACAGCGTCCCAATGACGAGCTCTGTCGACCAAACATCGTCCATGACTGATGAAAAACCGTCATTGGTAATTAAAAGAAGACAACCCAGAACTTCAACATCTACAAGGCCGGAAGTATGTGAACTCCCAGAAACACCTCCCCATAAGGTCCTGAATTTGCCTGCAGCACAAACGAGCGAAGGTAACGCCACGAGTTTGGCTATTAGTTCTGATCATCGGGAAATCGCTCGAAAAATAATCGATGTTTTCTGAATAAGGGGAAAGAAACGCATAATTACACTGTYTATGAGTAAACGTCTTTACCACTTTTTATTACTTTCAGTGAATCAGTACTCAAGGGTTTTTTGATAATTATAGATTTAGTGAATTCCCATAATTCTTATCGGTCTATTCCGCGACCTCTTCCTAGTGATAAACGTATTGGAAGTAGCTGTATATTTTTACGTAGATACCGGGGAATGGTTAATCATAGTAGAGGGAGACCGTCTCCTTCTACTAACTACGAGTTAATACACCTAAATCTGATGTGAGTATAAACAATGTGAAGTTTGGGTGAGATCATGATTTATAAATCAATATTAGTTAAGAGCTGTCTTCAGTTAGTTTTGATTTTGGTTCACACCAGTTATCATACTAGACTCATGCATGATTTTCACGGTGATATATTGAATGAATTATACAGATAAGTCAAAGACTACAACTGACAAGAAATATTCACGTTTGAGAGAAAAGAGCAAGAAAAAGTGTGGTCGTCTGTTTGAAAAACTCAAATTTGAGGACACAACTGCTGCAAATACAGGAAATAATAGCACAAGTCCAGATTTAACAAGTCGCACGAGTCTTACAAAAACCGAAAGTCCAATGAACAAGACCTTATCTTCAAGTAAAAGTTACTCAAAGTTGAAAGATAACACCCACGAGAAAAAGTCACCAATAGCCAAAGCAATTGATAAACTAGTGTCTAGCCAATCAACACTGCCGTCAGATCTTGACCAATCAAGAAAGAGAAGTAAAGTGAGAAGTTCACTGATGTTTGAATCTTTGAAGGAAAATCCGGGCATTCCTAGCGCCACAAAAGACGATTTGGGTCATTCAAATGATGTCACCCCTATGTCATCTTGTCCTGGAATGGGCATTAAAAGCAACGATGAAAAGAACGTAATGAAACACAAGGGTTCTAGTGATGTGTCCACACAAACTGAGTTAAACTACCCAACTATCTGCTTTGATCCGCCAAGTGCCTCTTTGATCATTTGTGACGCACTGAAACATTTGTTCGGCTTGATGGCGATAACATCAACTGTTTTATTCCAAATTATTGTTTCTACGTTTATAGAACACAAAATAGACTAAATACATATAAAGGTTGGTTGTTCGAACTGCAATTTTATAGAAATATATAGAGAGCACTCATATGCTCCGGGAACATCGAGAATTGTTAGATCAATCAACATCAATAATGTTGGATCATCGAAAAATTATTGGATGGCCAGGCGACTTGAAGCATTGCACGTTTGAGATCTTTTTAAGGAGCTCGAACGCTACAGGTGACATACTTCATACCGGTCAACTAAACCACGTCACACAGGCTCTGTAGGTATGGTTGACAAACAGCAAAATCAGTTCGCTCAACAACGTTAGATGTTAGATCCATTAGCGATGATTGTACCACTTGGTCATATATGAAGTCATAGCGAGATATATAGAGAAACGTTCACTACAGTATCGTTCATGTTCTTGTTAAACTTCACGTCGGTACCTGATCGAAAGGTTTTACAAAGTAATCGTTTTTATAAAAATAGAAAAAAATAGAGGAATTTATTGTAGAGCAAAACTGGCTCCATATATGAAAGCTAAAAAAAATAAAGTTTATCTGATCATTTGTATTATATAAAATCCCGATTATTAGATCTACACCCAGACAGAATGCAAGACTGACACTTCGAAAAAATGCAAAGCTGAGGCGCATATCGAAAGCAACGGAAGATTACTCGTAAAGTCAGCTCGATCAGAAAACAAAAACACAGTGTAGTCGAAATGCAATTTGGAAAGTCTATAACCATTAAGCTGGAGGCACAACAGGAAAATGCTTTTTAAATGGTAATTATTGTTCCTAAAGGTCTTTCAATTACACTCTTATCACTGGCACTGAGCGAACGTTTTCCTTTCTAGTCGCAGGTGTACCCGTCGGTGCTTCCACTTGCTGTTGGCCTTCACAGACTTCGAAAATTAACTCCTGTAAGGTCTGGAACCAAGCGAGTTTGATAACACAAACGGTCCCCTTAAAAAAGCAATTGGTCTCGGCTCATGACTAAAATATTGGGAGGGTTATAATTCCACGAAATATTGGCGACAACAAGAAAAGGCAATAGACTTTCTTAGAAACCAAAAAGACAATACTACTTTAATACCGTTAAATTTAATGATTAAATTTAAATTAAATGACTATAAAAAAAATTGCACGTTGTACAACTACAGGCCTTTCTCCAATTAGGTTTTTGCTCGGCCCGAAAGGCCTAGAGCTTTCAGTTCTGCAGGATTGAAATCCGAAAGGGCAGAAGTAACATCTCACGACTACGCACGCTCGTCAAAATTCGTTAGATTTTTCGCAGAGTAACGACGAGTTTAAACGATCGAATAGCTCTTTTCAGCATCCCTTCGGCTTTTTTTCGAAGATCGGAAAATTTCGAAAACATGGGATGAATGGGACAATCGTCTTTCCCTGGAGACATCTTCTTCCGAAGGCTGAGGATTTGAATTAATATATTGGTTCGCTTAACCAGGGACGTGGGAAGAAATTCCCTTCCCACGTCCCTGGCTTAACGAAGGTATTAAAATCCATCTACATCAAACGTTGGTACCCGTAATATCTCTTTCTGTCAGTTCTCAACATCGCATTGTTTGCTTGAATCAAACAAAACATTTTCTCTGTAAATTCTACAATTTGACTCAACTGACAAATGACAGCATAATGTCTGATATAAATCCCCGGGGCCAAAAGTACCGGGGATGCTCGTCAGAAATTTTCAAAAAGATCCCCAGAAGTCTTGAAAAAGGGCGTGGCTGACTGATTTTTAACCCCTTATATAAGAGAATTGGGTAACATATATTCGTCTTGCAATATCATTAATTCAACAATATTACCCTGAAGTATTTTCTTATCATCGTTGCACAGGTGCCACCATTTACTCACAAATATTTTTTACAGAGCTAATGAATCTTTAATTTTCACTTACTAAACACACRAAAGTGGGCTGAGCGAGAATCCATGTTGGCTCCTGTTGCTCAAGGTTTGTTGACAGGCTTAGAAATAATTTTTTATTCGTCGACAGTAAGGAATTTGTATGCGAAAAAGTCAATGTGTGCGAACCTGAGCAAACGAAAACTCGAGTCTGGAGTATCTCACTACCCACTTATTATACATTTATAAAAAAATTATTTTGACAAATACTAATACTCATTTATTTAATTAAGATCATTCTAGTATTTTACTTCCTGTGGATCCATCTACCTTGGTTTTCTAAATACATGTACCTACTAAAAATCTATTTTTTTTTTTTTTTACATTTTTTAAGGATTTTTTTTTTTTCAAGGCGACCAGCACACACAAGAATTGTTTAGTATATGCATCATATGTACAGACTTGTCAGGTCCGTGAGTCACAATGCAGTTGCACTGCAAAGAACAACTCTGGATTAAATCCTAATAATACAAAGTTCCTTTCTTACATTGTTCACCCAATTCAAGATAAGCCAAATACAAGCAACAAAACAAACCCCATCTATTAAGGTGGAGCTCTGCAGTTGTTTTTGGATTATGCCTTGCAATTTTTATTTAGCTTAATATGTAATAGCCCTAGCTTGATTTCAAGACTCCACCTTATAGAGTGAAGATGTTTTCAATCTCCCTTTTTTTACTCATTTTTGTCGAAAAAATTCGCGGTACTGTTTGTGAACAGTAAGCAATGCAGAATCATCGTACTACGGCATAATGCCTTCTAGTACAATGGATATTCGGCATTGTACACACATTTGCGACAGCCAATTTGGGCATTGTTAAGTTGCAATAGAGCGTCCATTGACACCAWAAGATTCACATAGATTTTGYAGTGTCTTCTTGATACGTAGAGCTGTCAATCTGGCCGATGGGTTATGATACCAACATTCCTTCATTATTCTGGCAAACTTCATCATGACCTGGATATAAATATACAAAAACAGTTAATACTGTAAAAGATGACAACAGAAGCCTTATGATTGTCAAGAAACATGTTGAAGAAGAAAGACAATATGGTGAATTATTTATTATATAAATTGAACAGAGAAGAACGTAGTCATACATGTACTTTGTCTTGAATAGATGTCATATTGCGTAAAATAATATTGTCATAATACTGGATTGTAGGTCAATCAGTTAATCAGTCATTTTTTCGTCAAAACTGCACAGTTAGCCAGATAACAAAATCACACAGTTAYCCAAACACTTTTTCGTCTAAGTACATAAGTTAAACAACTACTTTTTCGTCTAAGTGGAACTGTTAGCTGGGCACTTTGCCATCTAAATTGACAAAAAAACACCTTTATGTCTAAGTCAGACAAGTCAGTTAGGTAGACACMTTAACGTCTGAGTCAATTATGAAACCAGACAATGTCGTCATRTAAGTCAAAGAGTCAACTTTTCCGTCTAAGTCATTCAGGCGGCCATGACAATGTTACCTCATCTTGCTTCCAGCAGGTAGGATARAGAGGGCGATATTTCTCTACACATACAACCTGCCATACGTCTTTAATGCTTGGGTCAACGCACACTTTATCATAGTAAGGCAACTGGTATTCTTCACACATCCCACCAAGTTTGCAGCGACGTGCAATTTCCCACAAGACCAAACCAAATGCATAAATATCCCCCTTCTTGTATGAATCAAAACTGCGCACTGTTTCGCTGTCTTCCAGAAATTCAGGAGCCATGTAACGCTTGGTTCCTACACGACTACCATTGGGTATGTCAACAATGTCAGAKGATGATATATGACGTACTGCCAGTCCAAGGTCTGCTATACAGCATGTCCCTATGGAAGGAGAAAATGAAGTTATAGTTCAGGGTTTACACTAGTTTCATTCAAAAGCCAAATTCAARAGCTAAGCTATGATAGACAAGTCCAACAGACTAACAAACAAACAAAAAAAACAAAAACCAAATAAAGACAAAAAAAAAAACACAAAAGAATTTAATCTAAAATCAACAATAGATTARGAAACTCTATTCTAATAAAGCATGGGATACTTCTATATGGCTATTATATGCACAGGCGTTTACAGCTCTTTCTGCATGGATGCATGTGAACATAACAGACAGACTGTACACAAGTGATATAGAATTTCTATTGTGAAAGTGGACACTTAAAACTTACCATTGCTTTTGACCAGAATATTTCTACTCTTTAGATCCCGATGAGCTATAGCTGGTTTGCCCATTGTACCAGTAATCTCCATATGWAGGTGAGCCAAACCACTTGCCGTTGAAAGAGCTAGAATCAGCATTTCATTMACATCAAGTGTCATTCCTTGTAAGTAGTCATACAGTGATCCATTCTTGTGATAGTCAGTTATTAACCAGAGTTGTGTCCATGCTCCATTATCCTTATTATCTGCAGCGATAAAGCCTGAAAACGAACATACAAACTGAATATAACATGCTCAATATTGATTATAGTAAGCTTGACTTCAAGTGTATTTATTTACAACAATATTAACATCTATCAAATCAATTGCAGGCAAGSCCTACCAAGAATGTTGTCATGTCGTAGCATAACTGTTTGGTAAATTTCTGCTTCTCTGCTCCATGAACATTCATCCCATGACGAGAAGATCTTAACAGCAACATCTTCTCCCCTCCATTTTCCTCTGTAAACTTCTCCATACCGTCCAGTACCAATCAATTCAACGGTGGTGATTTGCCGTGCTACAGTACGCTGAACTAATAGAGGAAGACCAGAGCCAGACCCTGATATKAAATAAATAAAAAGTTAAGTAAAGTTTTATTTGCACCATCATGGAGACAATTTTAARTTTTTGTAAGCCAGGGCTGGYTTGTTCAAAGCTCAAATAGTGATAATCCTTAATAATTCTTACAAAACCAAAAACTAAGGTTTTGAATTAAATCTCAACATTTGCATGCCACCAGAATTACATGTCCATGTATTCCTGTGTATAACCAGCACTAATCTGAGGTCAACATAGGATTACACATGCAAAAATGCAGCTACAGTAAACAGTTCTGGTCTGAAAAGATTATTTTACCAACTTAGAGAACGTTTTCTATATTTTTTCAGGTTTTCTGCATTTACTGTACCTGTAGAAATATCCGACAAAGCATTTAGAGACATTCCTGGTGGYATTTCAATAGATCGATTGTCCTCTGAATTTACTCCATTGTATGTTGGAAGCTGTGACTTGCGYCGTTGGTAAAACCATATAACCAGCATTATAAACATGCATATAATAAACATGGGGCAGGCTATGATGGCTGCCACCTCTGCTGTCTTGAGGGTATGGCTGCGTGTTGTGAAATCATCACTTCCTGGAATAATAAGTAAATCAAATTACATTAAAAATATATACCTTTTTCAAAAATGATTGTCAGATAATGGTGATTGTACAACTGAAAGTAGCCATGGGTTTTGCTAATTGATGAAAAATAACAACTCTAAATATTTGTCCCCATTTCTATCCAAGGATTATCCAATAAGTGAAATTTTGTTRGTCAAAACAATMTAACCATAGTCCCTTTTGGTTGTGCAATCTCCCTTTGACAATTGCTATTCTCRCCAACAACAGTWTTTTGAAATAGGTGTATTTCAGATCTGGCTATTTTGTTTTGTTTTTAGTTATCTTGAATGCTGAATTGGTATGCTGTAACAATACTCAAGGTGCATCCTACACAATATTCCTGGGTGAACATCKCCCTTGATCCCAGRATCTCAGAGTGAAACAAASTCCATGYGYCACYACATTAKAGACTTTGGGATAAAATTAAAAGCAGGATTTTTCTCCAAATCAATTCCTTTTCAATTTTGTCTACAATTATAGGGAAACATGACTTCAATTAATAGTTATTAGGTGTACTGTAAAATTATCTGTGAAATGAAAGTTTTTACAAATGACAGTTGAAATGMGTACTACTATAATGTGTTGCAATGTTGAGCACAAAATGTTCAGGATTGTAGTTACAATACTTGTTATTTTAATGCAGATAAGACACATTGTATTTTCCATGGAAGGGTTATCACTTTACCACAGAAGTGTAGCACTTGTTAGTCACAATCAGTGTTAGACCTAAACATAACCCTACCTACTGAGACCTAACTTAGGGGTTATTTATACTTAATGCATGGGTAACAATAATAAACAAATTGGTCTAAAGAGGAATTGCCCTATTTCATTATGACATCACAACATGTTTACATCGGGAAACGATGCTCAAAAACAATGGAAATTTGGAACCATTTATATTGTCTTATAAAGTAGAACTTCAATGAATCATGTTTTCATATATATCATGTATAAATGATTGCTAATGAACATTTTATTTGAAATGCAGTCACTCTGGTCCCTTCTGGCAACCATAATCCTTAGCATTGAAACAATAGAATGTTTTGATGTGACGTTATAATGAACTAGGACAATTGATCTTGGTTATGTAAAACACTTGTCATACATTGAATTGGCTTGGTCAATCGAGCAGGTCTTTTCAGGACCCTGTTTACATTTATCTGTACGACATGTTTTCTCAATTAGAGGAGGAATGCACAGCAGGGGAGTAAAATAAAGACTGGTGTAGACAATCACCTTACGACATCAGTCACAGTCTTTTATACCTTTTCAGAAATGTTTTCAAAAATTCTGATACTCTGGTCTGTGGCAAATATCACTGGGTTCCAGGACCACGCGAATACAACTCGTACATCGCTGTCGAAGCTCGTGGAAGCTTGTCAAAAACAAACATGAAAATACAACGCGCCTTGGGGTGATTTGAGCTCAAAAATAGCGATAAAAAAGACTAATCGCTGTTTTAATTCAAGGAAAAACGAATTTCATTCACATTTTCAAGTATAAGAGAAGAAAATATAAACAGACACAACAACAAGTAGAATAAATTCAAGATAAGTTTAATGGGATTTCAAACATTTGCGAGTTTTTCGCCGATTTACAACAATAAACAATAGATTTTCAAAACAAAGTTTGTTCTCTACAAAAAGAGACTAATTGAGCAATAACAACCAACGTATTCTTAAAGTTATCCTCCGTGGCTTAGGCTATATCTTTAGAGCTTAAGAACAACCAGTAAGAAATTATGAAGGTTTCGCTGCAAAGCTAACTCGAAAGAGTGACGAAATTACCGCCATTTTGCTAACAAATGCTGTACGGTTTATTTTGAATTTTGAAAAATGTTCATTGATTTGTTTAAAAAATAAATACATCTCAAGTCAAGTTGACTTTTTCGGAATATCATAATTAGCATTTAACCTTGATAGCTGGCGGTTAAACAATTTTTTTCTGCAAAGTAGTGGCGAAGAATGATGTCGAAGTCTTGAAGAAATGTCAATCTTCTTCTACTTAGAAAAAAACGCCTGAAAGCCGTTTGTATAAGTCATGACTTAACTGGAGACGAATGCATCATCATTGGAAAGCTCAGGACTTGTATTGTGGCTTAGGCATAGTCTA